TCGTAGTCGAACTGATGTCCATGTTAAATGTATTCACGTAGTGAGATGTTTGTGGCATTTCATGGAAATATGCAACAATTTGCAAAGATCCCTGTCTCAATATTGTTTGTTGTTTATTTGTATTATTCCTTCTGTCATGTGTGAGATATCCATTCATCTTGTTTGGATTGCGAGCATTGTCAGACACAGTCATAATGAAACTCGCATTTTTAGCATATGCCTTCACTAGTGATTCACGTTTCTCACTGTCGAATGTGAGAAAGTAATCTCGTAAAAATTGTCTCAGAAATTGTTGCGCTTGTGCATTTGCAACAAAGTTCGTTTCAGAGGTTGGCATGTTATTTGCTTCGTCTACTGCGTCGCACAATAATGGACTAGATTTCTGAAGTGGATGTTGTTTTAATTTGGCCATTCTAACTCTTGTATTTCTTGCAGGTTGCGTGCCCTTGTATCTCTCCATCATAATAACTTGCCGATTATTCTTTAAATTTATTGCTATTCCTATGTTTTGATTTATATGTTCTGATACCAAGTACGTAGACACATCTCTAGCTCGTCTCGTTCGTGCTTTGAATGATGCTTTGGCTCTGGTGCTATGATATGAATTGTTTTTTGATTCGCGATCGCCGTGACAATAATCATCCTCAAAACTCCCGTTTCTTCTATCACAACCATCGTCACAGCGTAACATTCTATTTGATTTCGGCATTTTTCTCGAGTTGCTAGATAAATTACCTTGAAGCAGAAAAATGGGGTCACCGATTAATATACATTAATTTATGTAAATTAACAGTAACAACAATGATAAAACGTTAAAAATCATTATGTAAACTCACCGAAAACACTTCAGCGCAGTTTCTTTCGTATTTGGACCGTTGTTTAGTAGAATTTCAGTGCAGGATAGATTACTTTGAACTAGAACAAAGGAGTCACCGATTAATATACACTAATTTACGTAAATTAACAGTAACAACAACAATAAAACGTTAAAAATGATTGTGTAATCGCACCGAAAACAATTCAGCGCAGTTTCTTTCGTATTTGGACAGTTGTTTAGTAGAATTTCAGTGTAGGATAGATTATCTTGAACCAGAACAAAGGAGTCACCGATTAATACACAAAGGAACAATTATAAAACGTTAAAAATCATTATGTAAACTCACTAGATACACCTCAGCTCGCTTCTTTTCGTATATGGACCGTTATTTAATATAATATCAGTGCAGAGTAGATTGCCTTGAACCGGTAAAATGGAGTCGCCGGTTAATATTCACTGATTCATGTAAATTCACATTAACAACGATGATGAAACGTTAAAAATCATTATGTAGACTTACCGAAAACACTTCAGCACACTTTTTTCCGTATTTGGTCCGTTGTTTAATATAATTTCAGTGAAAAATTCGCGTTTTGTCACACACAGAACTTTCACTGACGAGATTCAAAAAGAAAATGGCTTATGCTCTTTAAAGATGGTGGAGGCATTCTTGAAGAAAGGGCCGATTGTTGATTGAAGACTACATTTCGTTTTACTTCCGTTGTCCAGTCCAAGAGAGAGATGGCGCGAATTTTAATTTCAAAATTTATGTTTTGTCTTTGAATTATAATTATATTATTGTGATAAAGCGAGTGACATGATAGATAATTTAGTCCATTGATTCTTGTCGAGAAATAGATGATAGATGCATGCGTTACAGTGGCAAAACTTACAATTGCAAATTAAAGAAAAGCTGTCGTCATTGCATTGTCTGTCTTTTCGAACAAGTCAGTTCGTATCTAGTCTGTTTTCGTATAGTATGCGGAATAAATTTATCAAAAGGTGTATGATTTGAAGTTGAGTGTATTTTTAATCTGATGTATGCTCTTTGTTCAATTTTTGGTAATTTTTATAGATATTCAGGGGATTGAAATACCGAAATTTTTCATGAGTGTCGAGTGCATGTACGTCAGATTCATGTACATTAAAAGTCACTGCTTTGAACGTTCATTTTGGATTCTCCTGTATACGTGTAATGAATATGTCCGTGTTTTAATCCAGATACATAGTGTGTAATTTTAATAGTGCACGGGCACTCGAGTACTAAAATCTGAAGTGCACGTGTATCAGAATATACAGATGGACTAGCATGTTGAAGTTTTATTTTGTGCGATTAGAGTGTAACTCTGATTATACGTATGAATTTATCGTTCCTGTAGTACGTGTAATTGGAGTTCATCTAATACAGTGATGCACAACCCGCGTTTTCAGAGCAACCTTCTATTTTATTTCCCTTTTTTTGTACGAAACTTTTTGAAATTACATTTCAGTCATATAGTTTGCATGATAAATTTATGTCAATTGAAAGTAATATAATCATTTATTGATTATTAATTCATATTTAACCATTTTAATTATCAATATAATATAATATAATATAATATGATATGATATGATATGATATATGATATGATATGATATTTTAATTATCAATATAACCATTTTAATTAGTGTTATTTTCTCTTTTTACCATTTTTTTTCTTTAATCAACAGTGAGATGTTAGAGATTCATTGTTGCTAATAGTATAATGATGTTTCATGTGTGCAAGGTTGTGCATCACTGATATGATAGGAGTCCATTGATTCTCTCAATTAATACAGTGGATTCTCCTTTTATATGAATCAGTTAATGCTGAGTCTCCAATAAATGTACGATCTCCACTTCTATTATACTTATCTGCTGTCTCTTATTATCCAAATAAATAAAAAGAGGATATAGAGAAATCCAGTGAACCTTTATTATTGGAAGAGTCGTGTCAGATAAACAAGATTATGTTCTGATGATTTTTCATTCACATAAAAGTTCAAATAAGTGGATTCAACAAGCTAGAGTTCATTTGATCAGATATTGAGATTTGTTCATATAAATGAAATTCTATCGTACTAATCTATAAGAAGATATTTGAGTATATAAGTACATTTACGTGCGTGTAAATAGTTCATGATAATCAGGAGAAATTTTAAGGATAATAAATAAAACTCGAGTTTCGATTTTTTTCATAAAAATGAAGATTTTTATTATATTCCTCGCGATTCTGACGTAAATGCAACATTGCAAAGTCGCATATGGAAAAGCGGAAAGATGGCTCGCCTAATCGAAAACTCTTCGACATACGCCATTCGAAATGCCAACGCTTATAAGATGCGGATTTTACGTATTTACGTATTATAACACACAGTAAATAAAAATTCTTTGTTTTAACAACGAATTTTTAAAGAAAGAACTTTCAAATACATAAAATCCACGTCCATTTGTAAAATATATCCTGTCTTTGAAACTCGTCAGCCTTCGGACATTTTGTCGAAATAGCCGTACCAAGCAACGAGCCTCACGATATTGCCGAAATTCTAGAGAGACAACAGGTCGCCGGTGTAGCGGAGCAGAATAAACAAATTTTTGCGTACACAGCTTGAACCGTATTACGGACGATAAGAGTCTGTTTCCGCGATGGGAAGGAAAAAAAAAAAATCAACGCTTGCGCGCAGTTACGTGTAACAACGACACATGTGGCTCTCGCAGTTGACGTGATCGCGCGCGTGTAAGAGGATGATAATCATCCTTTGTCGACAGTATCATCGAAGGCAAACTGTTTAACTTCTCGGTGGGGAGCGTGGTTGAAGCGGCTGTTTCGACGTTTAAACACCCCGCGTTTTCCAGCCCATCTGCAGACGTCACTGAAACCCGGAGAGAAATTCCCGCGGAACTTCGCTCTAGTTTCGAGAGCTCGGAGATTGCTATTGTTCTGGCGGAGAGGTTCGTTTTGCCTTCTTTTTCCCCCTTTCTTCTTCTTTTTTTTTTTTTTTTTTTTT